GGTGGCTCTGACTTCCGAGTTTCGAATGTCAGCAGCCCTTCTCAACCAAATCCACTTGCACTAGTGAACTTCGAAGTTGCTGGGCAACCCTGGCACAGAGCAAACGAGGGTAGGGTTGTGCGACATGTGTTTTCCAGCGTCCAGACTCATCTTGGCCTGAAAGCGTCACATGGCGCTTGCCCGAGTGTTGGCAGCGACCTGCACAGGGCCGGCAGGTCACTGCACATGTCTGAAGCAGAGGGAAACCCCATTCCAACAACCCTGTAGCCTTCCGCCAAGGGGTGCCAAAACAGCAAAAATGAGTTTCATGTAATCGTGCACCAAAAGTTTGCAATGACTGTGCTTGCGGTGTGAGCCAAATCCTGGAGGTATAGGGGTTTTCCAGAACCCAGGGAATAGACATGTGGCAAGCCAGGTCAATGTAAAATTTTGAAGTGTACAACAGCTCATTTCCCAAAGCAACTTTTGTACGGTCGTGAGGACGAAGATTGCTGAAACCCCAAAGATTGTCTGCATCATCCCTCAGTGGTGGCGGGCCTGCATCCGACCGCCTGGCCCGAGACCAGGAGGTGCAGGGTGTGCCAAGCCAAATCAGAGCAATGCGAGAGCGATGTTTTTTGATGAATCGTGTCAAGTCTGTTCGGACTTGTGCATTCAGGAGGTCACATCCCACACCATAGTCAATGTCGTAGGCAATGGCTGTAAAACCCTGGGCAGCCATGGCCTCCGACATGCGTGCACATCCTGAAAACAATTCAAGAAACAGCTTTCCATTGCTCAATGTCACGGGAGGGTGAAAAATTTTGGGCCCAGCTTTCTCATCTGATCTTCCAACTGCAAAACAAGCTTTTGTGTCGCCTGTGGCAGGCGATGATATTCCTGATTTAGACGACCATGCTGCTCGTAGCGTCGAAGGCTTGCGTCCGCGGCCCAACGGCCTCTGGCCTTGATCTCCATCAAGGATCGTAGGCGGTGACACCGATCGAATGATGGGCCTGAATGCCGCAGCTGATGAAGGACTGCATGGTTGTGTTCCAATCCCACATCGACTAGAGCTTGCTTCCAAGCACTCACCATCTCTGTGTAGCCCAGGTCGAAAAGAAAAGGACCTGGAGTCTGCAGCCTGTCCAATGCGAGTCCCAGCCCTGGCACCTGCATCGCATCCAGTTGGATGGACTCCTCCGAGATTCCAACTTTTGAGGCCTCGTGTCGTTCGGCAGGATGTAGGTGCAACGTATGAAACTCCTGTTTCGGCATCGGCTTCACAAGGTCCACCTTCTGGATGGCCAGGCACTCTCCTGGCCTCAGGTAGGCAGTGAACATCGTCAGAGTGGCCAGTGCCGGTTGCATTCGGCCTCGCTTTCTCATCTTCATGGCTATGCTCGCCACCAGTTCCCACGGAAGTGGTGGGCGAGTCTTCTGTGGACGACTTTTCCCCAACCCTGTAGTGCACGAACCATCCGGGGCAACATGCCCTTGGGGCCATAATCGGGGAACGCGTCTTTCACAGCTGCCACAAACTTTGAGCCTTCGTGGAACTCGACGCCCTGCTCGAAGATGTCGTTGAGATACCTGGTGCAGGCCTCGTCCAATTTCTTGGGACCCTTCAACGGCAGCTTCTGCATCTTCGAAAATCGTTTCAAGTCCTCTATTCTCCTTGTGTAGTCCCGCGCAACGGCCTCCGAGACCGCCAATCGCTCCAGATTCGTTTGACCTTTGAAGCGAGGAGGATCTGTTCTCTGGGCCACCACATGAGCTCGAGTTTTTGCCTTTTCTGCTGGCTTCTTGTCGAAGTGGGTCATCTTGACCTTGCCTCTCTTCTTCTGGGGGCAAGGGACTGAGTGCAACCTGTCGAAAGTCTTGTTGGCTAAATCGGGAAGGGTAGCACTGCTGGTCAATCCTCTGAAGCTCCTGCCTCTCACGGGTTCGGCCAGCAGCATGCTGCTTTCGAAGGTGCTCCCACCTCCGAGAGCCTTTGTCAGCCACGTTCAGCTCAGACGGAATCCAGCGGGTGGATAGGAAAGAGTCAGTACATAGCAGCAACGCACCCAGTCTTCTACACACCTTCAACATCGGGAAGGCGCTCGAGCGTCCTTTACAAATCATCAACACCATGCTCATGTTGTCTCCAAAGTGCAAATGTCGTTTTCCAAAATGCTGAACTGACCGAAACTTGTGCCTAAGTGAAAACACCACTCCTCTGGCCTCAAGCAACGTGATGTGCTCAGCATGTTTCATGTGCACTGCGAAAGCTTCGTGCCAGTGGTTCTGCTGCATCACTCGGGGGGAACTTCCAGAAATTTCTCGTTGAGCTCAAACGGGTCAACTTCAGTCAACTCAGATCGAAGAGGCTTAACAGTTGAGATGTCTGAAAAAGGGTCCCCCCTATGCAGCGCAGCTTCACGGGGCGGAGGAAGCTCCCTGTACTTATATCGCCAGGGCTCTCTCTGTGCACCTAAGCGGGCTACCTCCTCACAAGGCAGCTCACGTGTGCACACCGCAATGCCTGACAACGAAGCATCACTACTGGTCACCTTCTCACTCCAGGTCCTCTTGAGATCAACACTGCATAATCCCAAAAGACTGGAGGCCCACCGAGCTTCTCTTGCTGCTGATGGAAATAAAACGCTCTTGTAATGATAACTCTTTTGAACAAAATCGTATAAAGATCGGAAGATTGACAAAAGCTCACGTCGAAGAAGCATGAAGTGAATACAATGTCCCAACAGTCGCTCGACTTGTTTCCCAGATACCCATGGTCGCCTGGCCAACCAGTTCAAAGCCAGCCTCACCTTCTGCAGCCTTTCGGGAATTGGAGTGACAATGCCTTTCTGTCCATCCACTAGGAAACCAAGACTCTGGCCAATGGGACATGCTTCAAGCTCTTCATGCACTCTAAAGCCAATCTCTCGGAGCCTCCGTACGATCTTGTCCTTCACCTCTTGAACTCGAAGCTCATCCACGCCTGCAACGTTCAGGTTGTCGGCATAAGGGATCAAAATCACTTCCTTGTCTGAAAGGTCTGGTGGGGCCTTGCTCTCAACGACGACCCGATCAATGCTAAGGCCTCCAGCCTCAATGCACAGGTGTGTATGGACACGTTGGGCAACCCACATAGCCCAGCTCCAACCCATAGGAATAACCCTGAGCATCGGAAAAGTCCAGCCTTCTGCATTACAATCAACTGTTGCCATATCGATGTTCCAGTCCTGCAAGGCCGACTTGGCGAGGGCCGGTAGGCAAAACAGGCTTTGCAACTCAGATGGCAATGCAAGGCTGTAAAAGTAGTCCTTGATGTCGGATTGAGCCAAATACAAAGTGGAGCCTTCTGGGATAGCCACCTGTGCCCATGAAGTACCCGCGCCCAAGGCTAGAGGAGGAGGTTTCTTAAAGCGTTTGTTCACAGCCCGACAGTCAAGGATGAGGCGCAGTCGACCATTCTTCTTTTTGACGAAGAACGGGGGTGCAATTTCCCTTGGCCTCGAAGTGAAAGAGATCATCCCTTTGTCAAAAAGGTCCTGAACGAAGGAGACATACAGCTTTTGATCTTTTTGCAACCTCTCATCCATATAAGGTCTCACCAAATCTCCCTCTTCCAACACTTGTCCCCACTCGTCCTCGGATAGGAGCATACTGCGTTGAGGATCACCAAGTACTTGTCGTCCATGATCATCGAGGACCTGGTCCAAGGCGATGGGACTATCTCCCGTATCGAGAAGGGAAACAAGCTCTCGGTCATAGGGGCGCACCGTGCTGACAAAATCCTCCTGTCCATAGGAGGAGTCACACTGCAGAAGCTCTTGAACAGCCTCACGCATACTGCAAGTTGTTTGGGCCCTAGGCATTCGGGCCAATTGCTGATAAATAGCATGCTGACTAGCCCTCTGTGCTTCACTAGCTCGAGCGTCACAAGCAACTGAAGGCGGAGCATACATCTCATTCAAACTATCAATTACACGATTCGATTCCAGCACCAACCCACGGACCTTGGCCTTCCTTCGTCTCGAAGAAGATGAAAGCCCGTAGCCTGAGCCAGGGGAGACCGCGTGCGGCAGTGGAAAAAGCTCACGCCAGCGTTCTTCTCGAAAGAGGTCATTGAGCTCACGGCCATGAAAAATGTCGAATTCATCCACGGCAGAACATGCAGGAGAGGGTGACACCCCTGCCGTCATAGTGCCACCCAAACTTCTTCTCATTTTTGATCACCGCCGCCTCCCCCCTTCTTGTCTCCGGGGTTTCGACGGCGAGCTTGAGCCTCCTCTTTCGCCTTGCGGCTTTCTTTGAGAATCATGGCCTCGGATTTCAACTCCGAAGCCACATGCTGAGCAAGATCACGATCTACACCATGTGCTCCCTTGCGATAACGCCAACCCATGAAATGCTCTGCTGAACTATAGTCCGGGCTTGTTGGTGAAATCCTGTGAGCTTCCCGAATCACTTGAAGCCGTCGCACCAACAGTTCAACCCCTTGAAGCCCACTGACGTTCAGCTGGTCGACGGTGACGATCGATTCGAGAATGCGAGACAGAACTTCATGTTCATAGGTTGAGCGATCCCCCCTTGGAATCTCAGCACTGCGCAGCCAAAACTCGTGGAAGGAGGTGGGTGTCATAGCCTGATCACGAAGGGCTTTCAACACATTCAAGGCCGTGGCAGGCCCTTCCAGCTGCAGCCCTCCACCTTGCGGAACTCCTTCAACCATGGATGCTACAGCCTGTGCAAATTCACGTTTCCTGATGCCCTGGGCATCAAAGGTCACCGGCAGCACACGGAGGTCCTCAAGCTTGTAACTGCCAGCATCTGCAACCTTGACCCTTTTGCAAAAACAACCAACTGCTGACCCGTCTCTGGAGGGAACAATGGCCTTCTCACCAATCAACACATGTCCAGCCGGAAGAACTGCCGGTTCTGTTACAACAATATCACCTCTGCTGTAACCACCCGCGCTTTCAATGCAAACCCAACACATGCTTACCACTCCGGCTGGACCTGCAACGGCCCCTGCTCCTACCGGAGGAGCTCCAGCTGCTACTGCACCCCCTCCAAGCACTCCTGGCAAAGGAGCGACTGCCGGTGGCGGAGGTGCCGCAGCTGCTGGTCCGGCTCCACTTGGAGCCAAGGGAGGAAGACCTCGGTTGAGCCTCTCTGCATTTGCTTCCATGCGACCTTGCTGAATGTGATGAGCTAGTGTTCCCGGGTCCAAAGGGGCGAACCCATACACCTCATGTGCAGGCACTCTTGCAGGTACTGTTGTAGATGCTCCCAAATAGATGAAATCTGTATAATCTGGATTGAGGTGATCTAACTGCTCACTGTAACGGTCAAAGTCTGGTGTAAGGATCTGCCATTCATTGGCTTGTATATGGCCAAGGAGGATGCGAACATGCCAAACACTTGGCACTTCGCCATAATGGACAAGGGCGACATGTCCACTCTCCATCTCAACCAGTCAACGAAAGGACCTTTCCACTCACACCAAAAACTCCTTTGCGCCCTTTCGGACTCACCGGCCCTGTGGCCTCCTTCCTGAAAAAGATCCAGCTCCCAGCCAGGCCAACAGCAAACAACAACATCACCGCCAAGATGACGTAAGGGAAACCACTGCCCTCGCTCACACAAGAACAGCTGCACCTGCAGATGCACGGCCTTTCCTCTGGGACAACCGGCTTCTCGAAAAAAGCCCTGAGCCCCCACCCAAGGATCAACGCCCAAAGGTGAGAGGGAACAGAGCCTGGTTCCATGGCACCGCGCCCCACTCCTGAGAAGATCTTGAGCGATATGGTGGCGGCCCAATCGCTTCCATTTTACATTAAAGTGCAGGCACTAGACATACATATTAATAGTATGATGCATTGTTATTAGTATCTTGATGTACATGCATGTATTGCGCCTTTTTCACCGTTATAGTATGTCCGAAATCAATGTACATTGGGACAATAATCAATAGACGTGTATATTAATCATCACGGAAACACAACACACCTTTGCGCCTTTGCCAACGAACTCGCCCGGAAGCAACATGGGTTGTTTTCCGATGCAACACATTCTCTGAAGGCTTTCCAGGTGTTTGGACCCTTTTCTTCCGGAGTTCCAAAGCGCTGAGATCCGGATGGCGGCCAGGAGACGTAGGATTGACGATTCTTCTCCTCTGAGAAGCTGCTAAACCTCGAAGCGGCAACATGCTATGTTGGGGCCCTATGGATCCACTGCACGTTCCCGTGCAGCGAGGCAACCGGTCTGGTGGGAAACCATCGACCTGACGTCTCGACCTGACGGGCGATCCACGTAGCCACGGCTGGGCGATGGTCATCAGGGTCCACACCCCGGTGGCATCGAACGAATGGATCCCAAGGAGGGTTCTGAGGTCGTGCACCGATCACTACCAGTAGGGGCCGGGCAGGGGGAAGTTTCATGCACCAGTCACAAGAACCACCCTGTGGTGGGGGAATCTCCATTGAACAAGAATGCATCCAACACAGTTCGGTATGCAGATGTGTTGCAGTGTACTTTTGTGGTCTGGACTTGGACTGAAGGAAACATCTACCTGGACCCGACTTCAAGTACCCTATAGAAATGGGACATGACCCTATTAAAACAGGTACTTGTACTTATACCCGTTTTGCGAGGTACTTTGAGACTCCAGGCATGGCTTGTCTGATTTTTTCTGAAAAGAATTTGCTAATTTTGGAAGCCCGCCAACGGGAGGCAACCGAGTTTGAGGTTGCGAAGCTGCTGGGTCGGAGCCTGGAAAAGGCCGGAAGCTGCTCCATGTCCTCTCTTTAGAACCCAAACACGACCTCTCTGGGAGCATATAGATGCATATAATATATAAGTACCTACACTGCAGGTGGATTTTTGGTGTCTTTCTGGTGGGGCATCTATTCCAGTCCCATATCCGCCGGTCGTGTGCACGACGTCTTGGGGTCTCCAGGATACGGATACGCATTGGATGGTCCAGGTATAATTAAGAATATTATGGAATATCCTTTGGGTCTATCCTATGGCCTGTAACAGTGGATGATGGTTAGGGTGGCAGGCCTGGTCCAAAAATCGCGATCATTGTTTACTGACTGTTCCAGGGAATAGGACAAACCCAAGTGTACTGTTCATTTTTAGTGGAGAAAGGGTTTTAAGGAATTAAATGGTTATCAACTCTAATGCAAACCCAGCTGTATAGCATCGCATGGTTGGACGGTGGACAACGAGACTTTCAAAGGAGTCCCACTCACACACACACACTCACACATTCTCTTCTGAGTTCGCACCAATTTCGATCAGAGTGTACTGGCACCCTCCGTGCAGAAAAAAACCTTCTCAGCCAAGACTCTCGGTGGGGCTCGTCCTTAGCAAGCAATGTTTTCAGGGGTCCAAATTGATAGAAGCAAAGGCACGTACCGACGTACCGGTTCATGGCTCGAGGGTCACCCGGTCTTCCACATCTTGCGGACCATCCGCTTGCTCGTACCGAGGGTCCATTTTTGCGTCCAAAAGAACTGACAGGATCGAAGGGTTCTCGAGGGGTTGGACTCAGTCATTGAGATCGAGACAACCATATCGATCTAATGGTTGTATATTTTTGTCTATATCCAGCGCCCCTCAAGCTATGAATAGCCATTTAGAAGTCAAGGGTGTCTGTGTGTGTGAACCACAAGAACTTGTCTATGATGTATGCATGTCCTTGATTCGGTTAGAGCCGGATTCGGAAACTAATCGGTCGGATTCTGAAACTAGGGTTCTGAAACTGGGGTTCTGAAACTAGGGTTCTGAAACTTGGATTCTGAAACTGGTATTCTGAAACTGGGGTTCTGAAACTAGGATTCTGAAACTGGGGTTCTGAAACTAGGGTTCTGAAACTGGGATTCTGAAACTTGTATTCTGAAACTGGAAAGTCAGATTCTGCAACTGGTATTCTGAAACTGGAAAGTCAGATTCTGCAACTTGCCTTCTGAAACTTGCAACTGGTGATCTCCACATCATGCGATAGCGTGTGTGCCTGTGACATCACCTTCGAAGCACATCCAAACCAACGTCATTAGCCCCCCACCCAACCCCCCCACCCCCCAACCCCCCCTTGTCCCCATCGTGTCATCTCGACATCCCTCATCATTCACAAAGTTGCGGAATCCTAGTGAGGGAGTCCACAATGTTGCGGAATCCTAGTTGCGGAACGCCAGTTGCGGAATCCCAGTTGCAGAATCCTAGTTGCGGAATCCTAGTTGCGGAATCTTGACAGTTGCGGAATCCTAGTTTCGGAATCCTAGTTGCGGAATCCTAGTTGCGGAATTCTAGTTGCGGAATCCTAGTTGCGGAATCCTGGTTTCGGAATCCCAGTTGCGGAATCCCAGTTGCGGAATCCGACCAAACAGTTGCGGAATCCTAGTTGCGGAATCCTGCGCAGTTGCGGAACTCGACTTTATCCTCCTTGATTCTATGGTGTCTCATATCAAGTTCGACAAGTGACTCCCTGCGTTTGTCGTCCCATGGTGGTGAATATAATACCCGAATGATGAAAATGACTTGGAAGGTACTTGGTTCCTACATGTTCCTATAAGTGTTCCTATGCTAAGCCTGGCCACAAGTGTCTCCAAATCACCCTCTCAAACAGTATGTAGATCAGAGAAGTCGGGCCCGTGGCTGTGGGTGGCTGTGGGTCGGAGCCCGGTTGGTCCACCGGCCCCATGACCGACGGCAACGGTCGCGTCAATCGCCACCACGGCCGCTCTCGCACGGCTCTTGAGCCGTCCGTCTCACCCCCGTCACCCGTCACGCTCATCTGGTGACTTCGACGTATTTTCAGTCACAGGTTTCGAAGAGTTGCCCAAATGAAACAGAGTTGAGTTGATTTCGGAGGAGCTGTTGGATGCAGGCTGCTTGCAGGATACTGTGCTCTTGTGGGGCTCCCGCGAGCTATTATGTGGAACATGTCCCCAAAAGGTTACTTGCTTAGAGTTACCATGTTACATCGTCACTCACGTTCGTAGAGGCTCATTCCTTTCCCTACTAAGTACCAGTGTCCCGGTCTACATCTCCTCTGAGAGGGTGATGTGTTCGACTCAAATAGATGTGATCTCTCTGATCTCTCCTTGATCCCGTATTATCAAGTGTGCCCTCAAGCAGGACCGGGATTGGACCTGTTCCAACTGTTCAGTCGGAAATCCCAAATGTCCCAGTCGAACTTCCACAGCTCGGGGAGTCTTCGGCTGGAAGGACACACCGTAGTAGGTATAGTGGCCAACTCTATCCTCTGCAGCCGTCTTCACCCATCTAGACTAGTCCATTTCCGGAACCTGCTGGAAAGAGGGGTCTCCCTCCCTATTTGAGCTACAAACCCGCATCCAAAAATCAATGAATATCAGTGACACTGGCACTCCCCGCATCAAAAATCAATGCCTTCCAGTGGCGAGTTCTGAGCCTTCACGGCCTCCTCGAGGAGCTTGGCACCCGCCTTCGCTGCAACCAGCGACGTCGGTCTGTGCCGAGGACGAAAGGAACTTCCACGACGGCAGGACGGAGGTGCCCTGGAGTCGACAGGCGAGATACCGAAAATGAGTACGATAGCAAAACAGATATATGTACCGTCGTACCTGTTTTTTTTCTGGGGTCACGTCCCCAGGTAAGAAATTGAAGAAGGCAGTGGAATTCCACAGCTCTTTTCTTTGGATATGATGCAAGTATCACAGCGCATCCACATACCTCCTGAGGTGCTTGGAGCCACAGCAAACCACAATACTGACTTGGACTTCCATTCATAACTCTTACATGCAAGTTCATCCATGAGGCCTTGTATTGTGTCCTGACACGGAGGAGGATTGTTGTTGGGTCAAAGATGCACCCCTGTCAAAGGGCCCACTTTAAGGCAACAAAGACCAATTTCTCGTTTGTCTTCATCTAAAAGGCTCCTTCAACTGCAAGCAATGGCGATATGGGAGCACACTCCCCTTCTGCGATGGCCTCCAACCTAGTAGCGATGGCATCCACCCTAGTAGCGATGGCCTGCAACCTATGAGCGATGGCACCCCAAAAGAGTGCTCCTGGTTCATCCAAAAGGATCCTACGCCATGCCCTGCTGGACCAATTGGCCAAAGAATATCAAAGAAGATTGGGCCGCCCCCAAAGAGCCGGTTCGGTTTGACTCGCCTGCGGCAATGGCCTGAGTATGAAAGTGGGAGGTATCCTCATTTCTAAGAAAACACTTGGCTCTCGCACCCGAGGCAGTTTCGTTTCCTGCAAGAACCTGACCTCGCTCCCTGGTCCCTCCGTCCGCGGCCCCCAAACGCCGCCGGAGCCGCGCGGCCTCCAGCGAGGAGCGTTCGAAGACGTTCGTGGCGAAGCGCAGGACCTGGAAGAGCTTGGCTGACGCGGTGGAGCAGTTCGGAACTCGCCCGGGTTACGACGCCGGTGAGGCAGGAACGAGCCATGGGAAGCCTTTTCAGAGCTCACTTAACTGCTTCTATGTGAGAGGTAAGAGTATAGAGAATATATCATCGGTTTAAAAGGAAACGGATCCTAATCAGGGGTCTGTTAGTTGGTTTAGTGACCACGTAAAAACGGACGCAAAGCGTCTACCTCATGGAACCTCATGAACCGAGCGCTTGTTCTGAGGGTCCACGGGTCAACTCACCCAGCTTTAGCTGGCAAAGTCACGTTCCAGAGCTTCTCTTCCAAACTCCCTCTGTGCAATGGTGGTTAGCTTCGATTGGTGGTCAACGTTGTGCTTGTTTTGGCGTACCCATTTCAAGTGGAAAAGACAAAACCACCGCCTCTTGGGATTTTGTGGGAGGGGACTTCTATAATGAGGTCGGGTCAAAACCACAGATACCAGTGACATTCACCACCCCAAACAAGGGGCCCTGGTAGAGGGAGATCTATGAATGCCCCGAATCGGGTTGTTCTGATTCTTGAAGCCCTGGACTCTTGTCGCGATCAAACCAATGCGGCCTCCGGCTCAAGACGGTCACTGAATTCCATCAGATCCTCTTCTCGTGATTCTCCCATCACCCACCCACGCAAGTTCCGCGCGGTCGACCCAGGGGACTGGTGTTTCAGATCTCTGGGTGACCCCTCTGTCGCAATTCCTGTCGCAATTCTAGTAAATGAAATGTCATTGAGATGTCGTTCACTTGAAAACCACTGCTGTCCCAATGTTTTTTTCAAGGGAACTTGCCCCTACTCAAGCGCGAGATTTGTGTCTGATTTGAGTCTGATTGAGGCCCAATTACCAGAAGAACGAAAACACGACGTACCGAACAGCAGGTGTTCAATTTGAGAACTCTTCATGAACAAATCGAGGCTTTCTGCAGGACTTCAAATTCAAATCCATTCACGTCACATTCTTCAAAGTGACCTTTGGTCGACCAGTTTCGCAGGGTTTTCTTTGAGGGTCACGAAACGGAACCTCCACGAGTTCTTCTCATGAAACTGCTCGCCCTGAACAAAGCAGGTGATTTTGGGGCACCTGAGACTTCTTCCGCAACTGCCGCCGTGCCCTCCGCGGCAGAGCACGCACTGCTCGCAGTGCGGAGAGAAGGCCGGCAAAGCCCGCGGCGGCGAGCGTGGGATCCTCGAAGCCTTCCGAGATCTGGAGCTTAGTACACTCTGACCCATGAAGTGGATGGCATGGCCCCGCCGGAAGACCGTTCTACGAAGTTGTGGGTGTTTTCATGTTTTTTCCTTGTCATGTCAGTGAGTGGGAGAGTATTCTAGAGCAAAACGATAGTAGTTTAGAGAGCTGAACCCAAGCATGGATAATGCCAATTTCATCCAATGTCCCATAATCGCCATAATATAGGCAGCTAAAAACACCTAGAAACACAACAGCAATGCTGCACAATTCTGAACTCGTGGCTCGTGGACCCGTTTGGACCCGCCCTAAACCTCCCGGCATGGGGAATCGTCATGGAATTTCTAGCTTTCCATCATCTCCTCATTCATCCTCATATCATTAAAACCTATTAAAACATCTGAGCCACGGCAGCCATGGCAAGGTAACCTTTTGATCGAAACCTCACAGTTCGGGTGTTCCCAGCTCTTCACCTTCCAGGTCGCTGCGGGTGCGGTGTCGAATTACGCGCGCGTCGCGTGTCGCTCGGCCCCCACCTGCTCGGCCTCTACCCGGCTGCTCTGCCCGAAACGCTGCCGTGAGTTCCGGAGAACTCCGAGTGCTCTGAGCGGCCCGCGCGGCAACGAAGGCGGTGTCCATGGCGGAGAGGGCGTGAGATGCTCTGCTGATCGTGACTTGGATGATCCGAGTCGTCGTCGATCGGGATTTTGTGGATCCTCTCTTTCTGGGATATCTTTATAGGTATGGTTCCATCCATTTGACAGCAACTTACGTGATCCCATCGGCCAATGCATTTGATATCATGGATTTCGTGAGCGGGCTGTGTTTTCGGATGTTCGGAGCCTGGAATGCTCCGGATCTGCTCTGGACGGGCCAACTGATGAACGTCTCTGCATCCTGCAGCACGTCGGCTGTACCATACCGGGAATCGAAGGTGAACAGGCTACCAGTTACACTGATCATGGTAAGATGAAACATCAACATAAGCCCTATGTGGGTCAACAGCCACCCTTTTAGAACATCACAAACAAAAATCAACAGTGGTAAAAAAAGTTGCGTTCCCACCTGATGTTCATGCCGTTTGATGTGTGTGTGTGTGTGTGTTCAATGTTTGTCCAGGGTTCCAAGATTAGGGAACAAAACACACACGACTCAGTTTGTATCAGTGTGTTATCCGTTGTCCTCGTTAAGAGATAGAGCTTGCAGCGCACAACAGCCAGCCATCCCAACAATCAAGGAGTCAGAAGAAACTTACTATACCCCCAAACTGAAGTGGCCAGAATACGGCGTGACCCATTCCTACCCTGCAGTCGACCCGTGAAAGTACCTCGAAAAAGTGGGGCGCCAGTCATACCTGTTGGTCGAGTCATGTCGGATTTTGGTGGGAACCAACTTCAGGTTCCAGATGTTCGAAGGAATCCGCGCATGGAGAACCCCCAAATGGGGCGAATATGTCCACTTGCTGACCCGGGCAGCCTCTGACTGCAGGTCTTTCGGAGGTCAACGGGCGCGACCCGTGGCCGGCGTGACGGGCCCCCGAACGGCGTCGTAGGAGGGCTGGTCTCCACGTGCGATGGCTGCATGGATCACCAGGCTGCAGTACCTGGGTTTCTGAAGCTGCAGGTTGAGCTTCAATGACCTCCCTTTTGGTTCAGTGCTTGCGGGTTGGGGGGTCAATCACGGTCAATCCTCCTTTTCGGATGTGGGCCAGGAGCCTTATTGGCAAGTGGTCCAGTGCTAAAATTGACTTGCATGTTCCATTTTGACAATTTCAGTCAATGTCCGAGTATTTCGAATTGGATGCTTGCAAACCACTAGTTGTGCCCCTTTAAGGCAGTCCAGCAGCATGTTTGAAGCTAAAGGATTGAACATGATTGATTGAACACCAATTGGACTACTTAGTGGTAGCAAAAAGACTATATACCTCAACAACCATTCGATGCCAACCCAGGACTGGCTGGGAAGATAATTACCCTTTGACACTGGTTGACCCTGCAGGGTGATTTTATGCCCGCGCTACTTCACTTGAGAATTGCTTAATATATATAGGCCTCCCACAATGGCCAACTCTTCTTTTTTGTTGTGCCAACACTGGGACGATACCCGATAGCATCACTTGCAATCGGTGACTCAGGCCTTCCGATCGGTGCTGAGGCTCTAAGACTCCCTGCATTCACTCGCTCGCTGTTCTCCGGTCCCCCAAGCGGTCCAGTGCTTCTTAATCAAAAAACTTATTCCATGGGTACTGTGCTACCAGTGTTATCTGACTTTTCAATGTCTGAACTGCCAAGTTCTGAGCCTCTTCAGGCTCCACAAACACTCCGCTCGTCACATTCCGTGCCATCGACTGCCCTCACCGGGTGTCTTTCTGACCAACTCAACCAAACACCATGCAACACAGGCCTCCATGATCAGTCTGTCGATGGCTCGATGCTTGATGGTGTTGTTGAGGTTGCGGACTCTGAAGCATGGCGAACCACTGCAACCCTAAGAATCCCGTCTCTCAAACTAAATACAATAGGGTTTGGGAACCGGGTCCGGACCCCTGTGGTCAGGTGTCGGACCCGACCCCTGCCAAGGTGTCGGGCCCGTTCGGATTCTGTCGCCCCAAGTCTGGTGGAGCAACTCCGTTGCTTGGTATACCGTTGCTTGGTACGTTTCACGCTGTCTCCCACCTAAGCTCAAGTGAAGAACATGAAAACCTGCCTTGACATTGCCAAATCTTGCACGAATGGACAAACATGGACAAACTCAATGCCAAAGAGGAGGTATCCTCATTGAAATGCTTCTCCCCAGGGGAGGTGCACCTGCCCGAACCTTTGGGTCACAGCTGCTCGGTCTTCGCAAGAGCACGTGAAACTGACTGTGGTACCCCCGGGGCCCTGGCATCTTCAAGACCTGCTCAGAAGAGAGGCAGCCATCGCCATCCGTGTCCTGGGGGCATGGTCACCACAAGAGGGCTACATGCTGCGGCCCTTGAGACCAAGATCAAACGAAACACACGAGTGAGGCGGGTGCAGTTCGACTCAGAGGTGGATGCTAAAGGCATGGAGGTGCCGAGTGCCCTGAGATCCCTTCCTCAGGGTGAAAGTACATTCCCTGGAATCATGGAAGTGGGACATGTTTGTCCGATTTCTGTGATGGTTCTGTCGTAAATCCCTCACAAACCAAACAAACAAAGATAGCCCAAGGGTCTAAGAGTGCAGCTAAGGATGGTCAAGTGTTCCATTTATCAGTGGATTGGACATCCAGAAGGTTTCTCAGCTGGAGAACGACCGTCTATCAAGAAACAACATTGGCGTTAATCAGGTCCTAACATGCACCTGTAGGCTTATAACAGTAGTAACTTCATACAGGATATATACAATCCCATATAATCCCTAAGGCTCCTGGCCCACATCCTCAGAAGGGTAGGGACAACCCCCTGGCATTCTTCCGGTTATGAGCCCTTCATAAGACCAGAGTCTGGCCGCCTATCTACCTGAAGTCTCCAGTTCCTATCATGATGACCCGAACAACAAACAAGTACGACCAGCAAATGTTTCCTGAGAATGGCCCATCACCTGAAGACTTTGACCAACACAAGCGAGCTAGCACGACGTAGCGAGCGATTTGACCTCCATGCACGATCTTAAGAGTAATAAGTAGTAACTTTGTACTGCAAGATTGTGTAATAAGAGTGTGTAATGGTAGTACCAAGGGGCCCAACTTTGTTTTTCATGGTTTTGAGGGCCCCTGGTAGAGTGTGTAATAAGTAGTGTGCAAGATCCACTGTGGGGTCAAAACCAGGATAGCTTGGTGCCACACCTTGCTCACATAAGCTTCACGCTCCCCAGCCCCCGCTCTCTGGTACCGGGTATGGTGGGGGTGAGCCGAGATGTAACAAATCGAATTCAACCCAATTAGGCACGAATTCCAAATCTTGAGAATCCGTATGTCTAAGATTCAGAATTCGGTGCAACAGAAAGACCAGCAAAGGCGGCGGAGATATTGAGCAACAGTGCAGAGACCTCGTCCATTTCTCAACGAATTATGGGTTATTCCATCTCTTTGAATTCCACATGTGCCATTTCAATTTTGTAGCGTACTTGGAACGCAATGGCAGTATTTGTAGGATCGATAATATACGGTATACTGTACATCATGTGTCATAGGCGTATCTCCGTGTGGTACGGTGCGGCTTGGTTGGATTCAAGTTGAAATCGAAGCCTACAGTATGCTGCCTATTTCTTTGGCCCATGGAATGACTCGTCGGAATGGGAATAATCCTCCGCAAACCTGATGTTTGAAGCCCAATCGCTCGAGGCTTTGTGCATCCTGCTGCTTGTATTTAGGAATCAAGTCAATATTTGCAAATGCATGCAAATGCCTCAATGTGACAAAGTGTAAATCAACATGTTTCTGCTTGTAATTTCAATGAACATTTGTTACCAATCAGGACTTATATATGCTGATCACCTTGGATCTAGTGCTTCAACTTGCCACCGCGTTGATGGCAAGCATAAAGTTAGGTAGTGAAGACAAAGTTCATTGCCAATTCTGTCAAAGTTACACTGGGGTGCCAAAAGTTGCGCTTCTTGACTTCTAAAACATCACAAACCCTTTCCCCTTAGAATCCTACGTGCAACATGTCGACACCTCAGTTGCGGTCAGATTTCCACACCTGAAAGCCTTATAAATATTATAAATTTAAACGGGTGTGGAAATCTGACCGTGCTGTACCTGCCACGCAAAATGGACGTGTTAATCCGATCCGCTGTAGACCGCAAGTGTCATGTTGGAACAGAGTAAGAAG